TGGCCAGCCTGAAAACAGCCAACAACAACTCACCCAGGTTGGCCACATCCTCATGGGGTGAGGGTCCCTGCTGGGGGGCTTGGCCAGACTGCAAACAGCCATCAGCCCCTCACCCAGGCTGGCTAGGCACTCCTATATAATGAAAGGGTAATATGCAAATTGACCCTAACAGCAGAACGATGGAATGACTGGTCACTATGACACACACTGACCACCAGGGGGAAGATGCTCAATGCAGGAGCTGCCCCCTGGTGGTCAGTGCGCTCCCACAGGGGGAGCTCTGCTCAGCCACAAGCCAGGCTGACGGCTGCCAGTACAGCAGTGGTGGTGGGAGCCTCTCCCACCTCCTCAGCAGCACTAAGGATGTCCGACTGAAGCTTAGGGCTGCTCCCCACTGGCAAATGGACATCCCCTGAGGCTCCTGGGCTGCCAGAGTGATGTCTGACTGCCAGCTTAGGCCCAATCCCCCAGGGAGCGGGCCTAAGCCAGCAGGTGGTCATCCCCCAACAGGTCCCAAACTGCGATAGGGCACAGGCTGGGCTGAGGGACCCCCCTGAGTGCACCGAGCCTCTAGTATACATATGAAAGGTAAGGTCTGGTAAACAATAAAGGATCATCAGGCTGGGGGAACTGCCCTCAGCTTTCTGGCAGCAGGCAATAATATGCAGACCTTCAGCCCTCCTGAAGCCCCAAGGTCCATCAGCTTTCTGATGAACTTCTTGCATAATTATGACCTGCTGGAATTTGCCACCAGCAAGTAGTAACAGGGCAAGTCAGCAGAATCCATGGCTAAGAGGACATCCACCTGGGAGGGAGATGTTAGGTGTTTTGTTCCTGGGAAAGTATAATATCTACAAACACTTTTCATGGAGTGCCCTTTTTGCCTTCAACTCAGGAAACTCATTGAGTTTCCACAAACCTGTGGAAAAGTAAGTGAAAGAAATGTGGCTCTTCCATGAACACTGCACTCCCCCAAAAGGATACCCGCTTCTCCTACTAATTCCCTTCTTCTTGTTTTGATGATAAAAAATATCAAACCACTCTAATTCTTCTAGTTAAAAAAAACAAAAACAAAAACAGAAACAATAATATAATCAATACATAATAATAATCCTATATAATAAAAGGGTAATATGCAAATTGACCCTAATGGCAGAATGACCAAAACAACCTCTAGACCAGTCACTATATGGTGCACTGACCACCTCTCAGTCCTATTCCCTGGCCGGCAGGCTCCCATCACCTGGCAAACGGGGAACCCGGGGTGGGTGGTGGTGGGGAGTGGAGCTGGCTGTGGGCAGCCAGGGAAGTTGGCCCTAATAGCAGGCCAGGCCTAGGGACCGTACCTGTGTGTGAATTTCATGCATTGAGCCTCTAGTGTAAGAATAAAGTCTTTGTTTCACGTATTCACAACTATAAACCCAATTTTCCCCTACCCTGTATAACTTAGCTCCGGAGCATTAAATAACTTTTTTCTCAACAGCACACTATCTCCACTGTAACATTTGTTCTATTCCATTAAAAAAAAATGTTCTCAATCAATCCTTCATGACAGTTTGTTCCATAATAATATACAAGGTGGCCTAGATCATGGATCCAAGCTATACTCCCTGAGTTTAAACCCCCACTCAGGAACTCACTAGCTGCATGATAGCAAGTTAGTTGGTTACTTGCCTCAGTTTCCTCATCTAGAAAATGAAGACACGAATAATATTTTTAAATGGTCTTTTTTAAATCATATTTTTATTGATTTCAGAGAGGAAGGGAGAGGAAGAGAGAGACTGAAAATCAATGATGAGAGAGAATCATTGATCGGCTGCCTCCTGCATGTCCCATATTGGGGATTGAGCCCACAACCCCGGCATGTGCCCTGACCAGGAATGGAACCGTGACCTCCTGGTTCATAGGTGGACGCTCATCCACTGAGCCATGCCGGCTGGGCTAAAGGGTCTCTTTTCAAGAATTAAAATCATATGTATTATTTTCTATAATAGTGCTGACATTATATGTGTGTTTATTTTTGTAATTGTTCCTAT